TTGCGTTATAGAAAATCACGCATTAGAAATAACAGGGCCTATGGGAAAAATGGGGTTTGGGGTAGACGACCAAAAAAATCATTCAAATCGCTCAAAAATCACTCAAAAACCTAACACAAAAGGTAGCACAGATTGAATAAATGTTTAATTCATATCTAGTAATGAGATAAGAGTAAAATTAACACCTTATTTTGAAAAAAATGTCAAGATGACTTGATGGGGAGGAGGTTTGAGGTCACTCTATTAATACAGGGGCTGAGGGTCATTACCTTCATCATCATCCATTCAGGTGCAGTTGTGGTTGCAGGTTTTGGGTGAAAAATAGTTAATCCAGAAGTAGGTAGCTGTGGTTCATTGTCTTCTGACTGTTTCTTGGGGATTGGCTTAAAAAAGACATCCAGTTTTTGCTGCTTTGCCCTTTTTCTTCTTTCATTAAGAAGCTGTTAATAGGGTGCCAAATAAGATCTTATTCCGTGAACTGCTATCCTGCTGCATTCTGCATTGTAATCATTGTCCTCTAAGAGCTGCAACTGCTTCTGAATATTCCTCAGGATAGAAGACAAAACAGAAGTGGAAAACTTTCGTGGTGCTGCATCCTGGACTTCATCTTCTGCATCTCCAGCTTCCACTTCTTCCTCAGCCACAAGTTGTCGTAGATCAGCTGTAGAGAAGTCTTCACAGTGGGACTCAAGCAGCTCTTCAACATCCTCACTCTCCACTTCTTCAAATCCAACTTGCTTTGCAAGATCAACACAATGTTCTTTGATTCTTGGGAGCTCCTCTGACGGATCAAAGGTTTTAAAATCTTAAAAAATAATCTGGGAGAAGCTTTAGCCAAACTGCATGCAATTGCATAATTGATGTTGAAGCTCTTCCAAAATTGAAGAATGCTGTCCTTATTCCCTTCAGCAGCTGCAATCATCCTCTTAAATGTGCTCCTCAAATGATAAGCTTTAAAAGCTGCCATTGCACCCTGGTCCATGGGTTGAAGGAGAGAGGTTGGAATTGATGGGATCACGTTATAGCCAACACAAGTTCGCATTTTAGAAATAGCATTCACCTATTCGTCAATTACGTTATAGCCAATTCGCATTGCCGGAACACACATTATAGCAGAACCCACTGTATATAACCTGCCCAGCACATTGCTGACCACTTTATTCACATTAGCACTTCTGCAAAATGAGGTTAGGAAAAGAATAACGATAGAACATTGAACATAGAACGGTACAGCACAGTACAGGCCCTTTGGCCCATGATGTTGTGCCGACCTATTATCCTACTAAGATCAATCTACCCTGCATGCCCTACATTTTACTATCCTCCATGTGTCTATCCAAGAGTTGCTTAAAAGTCTCTAAAGTATCTGACTCCACTACTACTGCCGGCAGCGCATTCCACATGCCCACCACTCTCTGTGTGAAGAACCTACCTTTGACATCTCCCCTATATCTTCCTCCGATCACCTTAAAATTATGCCCCTTCATAATAGTTAATTCCGCCCTGGGAAAAAGTCTCTGACTATCCACTCTATCAATGCCTCTCATCATCTTGTAGACCTCTATCAAGTCACCTCTCATCCTTCTTCGCTGCAATTGAAAAAGCCCTAGCTCCCTCAATCTTTCCTCTTAAGACCTGCCCTCCAGCCCAGATAGCATCCTGGTAAATCTCCTCTGCACCCTCTCTAAAGCTTCCACATCTTTCCTGTAATGAGATGACCAGAACTGAACACAATATTCCAAATTTGGTCTAACCAGGGTTTTATAGAGCTGCAGCATAACCTCATGGCTCTTAAACTCAATTCCTCTGCCAATGAAAGCCAACACACCAAACACCTTCTTTACAACCCTATCAACTTAGGTTGCAACTTTGAGGGATGTATGGACGTGGATCCCAAGATCCCTCTGTTCCTCCACACTGCCGAGAATCCTGCCATTAACCCTGTATTCTGCATTCAAATTTGACCTTCCAAAATAAATCACTTCACACTTTTCTGGGTTGAATTCCATCTGCCACTTCTTTGCCCAGCTCTGCATCCTGTCAATGTCCCATTGCAACCTACAACAGCCCTCCACGCTGTCCACAACTCCACCAACCTTCGTGTCATCAGCAAACTTACCAACCCACCCTTCCACTTCCTCATCCAAGTCATTTATAGAGCACAAAGAGCAGAGGTCCCAGAACAGATCCCTGTGGAACACCACTGGTCACCGATGTTTGATTAGGAGGGCTAATGGTGCCAGCAGAACCCATTGTCCTATAATGACACACCTCATTCAATGTGGTCCCACATGCTATAGCAAACTCTAAGCACTGACATAGATCCATGATTCATCCGGTATGGTTGTGCAGTTAATCATCATGCTGACACTGTTATAATTATGGTTATGTTCAGACTCAAACTTACATATGCATTACAAAAGCAAGAAGCTTTATATAAATTTGATACTTTATGTAAAGTGTGCTGTCACCAACACCACCAAAGTGCCCTCAAAAGGTTTTTTTCTTTTTTCCCTCCCACTACTTCTCAGTGTTATCCTAGGTTCTGCAACAGAGTTGGATGTAGCCTGCTTGGCAGTAGAGCCTGTTGGCCTCGGAGGTTTGGTCAGGTGAATCCAGATGTCTGGACAGCTTAGACATGGCTAGTGTGAACCAGAGGATGGTGGACCCTTCTTGGCTTGAACTTCCAAAAGTGGGAGGGAGGTAGGCAATGTGGACGTGGAGTTCCCAGCAATCTCTGGAATGTCTTGAGGGGCCTTAGTCTTGTTTCTCTTCTGGCTGGATGCCTTCTGACATCCTGTCTCCTTGTGACGAAGGAGCACCTGGAGTCCTCCTGTTCCCATGTCTTTAGTCATGAGGACCAATGGCTGGACCACTGGTGTGCAAATGAATATACCTCTCTAGTAGACCTGAAGTTGCTGGGCCTAACACTCTATGGCAGCCACCAACCTGAGTATGGAGGCAAGAACTCAATTGCATTGAGATAGCTGGGTCCACTTAGCATGTCTGCACTCCTGCAATGTCTGTGCTATGAGGGCCATTGCCTCCCATATACCTACTTGACACTCCTGTTCCTACCTTCATATGTGGACAAAGTCACTGGTTGCCCACATCACAGGATCATCTCCTGCTAGGGGCTGAGCTGATGCCTAGTCTCCAGCAGTCCTCCAGAGTGCCTGCAGCTGGTGCATTTCTTCTTCAGCCTGTTGGGGAACTGTCACAGTAACATCTCACAGGCTTATCTTCCCAAACTTCTAAATGTAGCTTTCCCATCAAGGTATCAGTATTAAAGCTGGTGTTGGGGTGGAAGGAGGCAACTTTGCTGTTGCTTTCTTCAAGGCCTCGGAATTATCTTCCTTGGAGATCAAGGAGGTGGCTTCTGGCAGACCAACCTATTCCTTTGCAGTGACTGTGAATGTCCTGCTGGTACTTGCAAGATACAAGGGAGAAAAAGCATTCCAGTAATGTTTAGAACTGGTGTGCAATGACTAACATGGATAGCAGAATTAATTTTAGAGTTGCAATGGAGTGAAGAGTGGTACTTATTTGGCAGGACATGGATGCCTTGGCATCCTGGAGGAACAGACTCATCTTCTCCTGCAAGAGATAGGATTCTTTCCTCATAGTTGGTCAGGAATCTGATGTCGGGCACCCCTCCACCCACCTGGGCCTTTTTTGGCCTATTGTGGGCTGTTTTCTTGTGGAATGAGAGAAAGGGATGGACTGAATGAGATAAAAGTGGCTGGAACAACTGTTAGTGCTTGTGCAGGTAGTTGAAAAGTGGTGAGGTGTCCTGGGTGAGTGAGTAGGCAGTGCAGAGTCCAGGCTGTGTTAGTTGTCTGGAAAGTTGGGAGATGGAATGAAAGTCACTGAGGGAAGATGTTACAAGTGTAGTGAGAGTGGCAGAGCATGAACCTTGGGTGAGAGATGTGCACTGTTACAGTTAGTAAGGATAGGGCAATGAGAAGAAGAGTGTGGCACATGCCATGGTGAGGTGGAGAAGGTTAGCACTCTGGCTGTTTTTCCGAATGATGGCAACTACACTGACCTTGGTGGTGACCTCAGAACAGGGCGTGGCCTTCTCTGCTGTTCCTCCTCTGCATCACTGCATCCACCAGATGCTGTTGGAGACTCATGGCACTATTTTACCTTTCTCCTACATTTTCTGAATGAATTACCATTACCAAGCGGGGCAGTTTCGGAATGCTAGTTCTCGTCAAGGTGAACAGTGAGCTTTTAAATATGGCACATGTGTTAGGGATGCTGGTCTTCAGAGCATTTCTGATGGGTGTAAAGTTCTTCTAGAATGGCACATAGTAGGTTGGGGCTAGAATTGGACAGGACGGGTGACTCATTGGAGGGATAGGTAGCTAATGGCGTAGGTAGTTCTTAGGTGAGTTTGGTGAGATATGGTGAGTGACCTCACAAGAAATTCAATAAAACTGACAATTAGTCAGAAAACGTGAGATTTAACCCAATACCTAAGTTCAGGCCAAACAATGAAATTCATATGTAAAATGTGTCCAGACTTATTTGATTCTACAAAGAACTTTAGGTATTTTGTCCATGGGATGCAGGTATCACCAGCTAGGCCAGCATTTATTGCCCTTCCCTAACTGTGTGGAGAAGTTAACAGTGAACTGCCCTCTTGAACTACGGCCGTCCTTTGGAAGAGACGCCAGCACTGTGTTTTTGGAAAGTAGTCCCAGGATTTTCACCCAGAGACTATTTAGGAATGATACCATAATTCCAAGTTAAGATACTACATGGCTTGAAGGTGACAATGTCATATGCATCTGCTGTCCTTCCTTTGAAGTGGTAGAGATTTCAGGTTTGGAGTTTGATATGTCAGTAGCTTTGATGTATTACTCCAGTGCATCTTGTAAATGGTGCTGTTATATATTTACTTAATGTTAGAGGTGTCATTATATAAATGTAAGTAACTGTTGTATTATATGGAATTTCTTTTCAACCTAATAAATTTTTAAAATTCTTTTTAGAATTTTGTACTACAAAAGAAATCCCCATCTACTCGAAAGCCCCAGAAAGCAGAAGTAGCTATTAATGAGGAACTTGACCAGAGTGAAAGGTTTAGTGAATATCAGGACAAGAATAAGTTTGAAAGAAAGAAACCACCGCCAAAACCTAAGACAAGGGATACAAAGAAAGAAGAAACTTCCTTTGTACATAAGACTCTAGAATCATCCCATCGGCTATCGTAAGTGACTGAGATTGAAATTTTGTGAACAGTAACCTTAAGTGATACATATCTCTGTATTAAAGTGTCAAAAAATATATTTTAAGTTTTATAATGTGTTATGATCCTCATAGCGAATGTAAACCTAGCAACCAAACTTACCAAGTTATGCAAGTTTACTGCTTATGTGTAGTTGTCCTGTTAAAAATGTTTACATTTTTATTTTGTACAAATCTAATATACTTTATACATTAAACTGAAATCTACAAATTAAAGGCTGTATCTATGAGCCTTAAGTAGGGTTCTTTCAAGGGTTCCAGTGAAACAGCAACTTATTTAATAACCAACTGAGACTGAATCCTCATTCAATGACTCAAGCATGCCTTTTGCGTTAAAAACAGATAGCACTAGCCAAGTTAGTGCTGATAGAATGCTGGATTTAATGCTTCAGGGTGTGAAGGAGAGGAAGGGAAAGAGGTGTTTGATTGCTTTTGCCTAAACGTTTTTCATCCTCTGCTAGAGAAGAAAATGCTAGTTAATTGTGAGCTTCTGTTTTCCTAAACCTCAAAATATTATAGCAGCTGGTGGTAAGGTAATACAAAATAGAAAAAACAAAACTAAATATTAAGTTAAATACTATAGTTAAGTAGCTCCTTAGAACATACTGAAGATGACTAGACAGGTAAAGTGTCACAGCTGTAACTGTGGGAGTTCATGGATCCCAGTATGGACTAGAACAAAAATGTCAGCAAAGATTTTGAACCTTGAGTAGCTTTGGATCAGAACTTATGTGGTTGAGGCTAAGTAGACCTTGCGACATAAAGGGAGAGAGAAAATTACCTGAATTCTTTGTACCAGGAAGAAACCACACCTCTTAGAATTGGATTGTCTGATTTGGTCAGTGTTTAGGGACAGAGTGTGAGTGTAAGTGAGACAGGTAAGGGGACGTAGAGGGCAGGCATGTAAGGGCCTCAGTCTTTAAATTTAAGGCAAAATACTGTGGATGCTGGAAATCTGAAACAAACACGGAGAATGCTGGAGAAACCCAGCAAGTCTGGCAGCATCTGTGGAGGTGAAACAGAGTTAATTATTTGAATCCAGAATGACTCTTCTTTAGTCTTCGCAATTGTCCAACAGGTTTGAGGATCTTTCAGCATTTCTGGATGAGAGTGAGGCCTGCAAAATGAATGAACTAGGAAGCACTTAAGATGTGCGACTAAGAAGGAATTTAGTGGCAGTAGTGGATTGTATATTGAAGGGGATTAACATTGTTCTCTGCAGCAGAGTGGCTGTGTTGCCTGTCTGGAACTGAAGTTTTGGACATCTTCTCAGGTTGGAGAGGAACTTGCAGTGGGAGAGTGAGGACCCACTCATTGCGGCCCATGTAGGTGACAACATAGCAGACAAAGAAGGAGGTTCTACATTGTCAGTATGGGGAGCTAGATACCATACTGAGAAACAGAAACTCACAGGTCATAATCTCTGCATTATAACCTGAGCCACGTGCAAATTGATGTAAAGTGAATCATATTAGACATATGAATGCATGGTTCAAGGCTGGTGTGTGAGAAGTGGTTTCCAGTTTGTGGATAATGTCACCCATACTTGGGAAAGTGGGATCTGTACAGATGGGACAATCTCAACTCGGTCTGTGCTGGGGCTGGTATTCTTACCAACTACATAATTAGGGAAGTAGAAAGGATTTTAAATGAAATAGAGAGAGCAAGCTATCAAATTTGGGAGTATGTGGTAAATCAAAGAGTAGAGATACGGCCAAAGAGAAGGTATTATTACTGAAATTATAAACAAACTATTATAGGAAGGAGTAGAGAGTATGAGTCTTAAACATGAACTAACACATAAGGCTAGAACTTACAAAAAGAGTAAAAGGATAATAACTAAAGATTCTGCATTTGATGCATGTAGCAACCAAAGAAAATAGATGAACCAACAGTGAAAATAGAAAGTAGTAATTATGATCAGATAGCCATTACAGAGTTATGGTTGCAGAATGACATGCATTAAGACTTGAATATTGTATGGTCCCATATATTTAGGAATGACAGGAATGTAGAAATAGGTGGAGGTATAGTACTGTATTAGCACTATTGACAGTTGACCTAAGTTCTGGAAACTAAGATGTGGAAATAGTGTAGACAGAAATAAGAAGTGATAAAGACAAGACTTCCCTGTGGGAGTGGTGCACAGACTCTAACAGTAACCATACAATAGAGTGGGCTATAAAGGAAGAAATAATGAGTGGTTGCCAGAAAGATAAACATGGGAGACTTTAATCTACGTATCAACTGGAAAAGCCAGGCGGAGAAAGGGTGCCTTGCTGAGGAATTCAATAAGTATTTTCAGGATAGTTTTTTAGGACAGCATGCTTTGGATCAAGACAGCAGGCTGTGCTTCTATTTGTGGAATGCCTGCACTCTTCGTAAAAATGAACCTGACCTTCATGTTATTTGCCATTTCAATATATCATTTTGCTCTCTTGCTAATATATCCATTTTCAGACTGCTGCAGTGTTCAAATGATCCTTGACACAAGGAGGAACAGCACCTCATTTTTCACTTAGGTACTTTACAGCTTCGAGGATTTAACATTGGTTCAACAACTTTTCGGCATGGTCTCTGTCCTCCTGTTTGATTAAAATACCAGCCCACCCCTACCCCTTTCTTCTAGCTGTGTCTTCTTTGTTTCTTGTTGGTTTTGCTCTCAGCAGAGCAAACCCAATTTCTCCTTTTCACATTGATCAATTTCACCTATTTGACATCTCTATCAATCCTTTACCACAATGAGCACTCGCTTTCTCTTTTGGCTTAAGCACCCTTAACATCTGTTCTGTTCATTCTTCCTCCCCCTCTGTCAATTTCTCTCCATTTTCCAGCCTCTTTTCATTCCAAAGAAGTCATTCTTTTTCATTCGTTGATGTGGTGTGGGCATTGCTGGCTGAGCCAGCATTTATTGTCCATCTCTAGTTGCCAAAAAGACAGTTGAGAGTCAACCACTTTGCTTTGGGTCTTGAGTCAGATGTAGGCCAGATCAGGGTAATAGTTTCCTTCCTTAAAGGACATTAGTGAACCAGATGAGTTTTTACCAACAATCGACAATGGTTTCAAGATTATCATTAGACTCTTTAATGCAGATTTTTATTGAATTCAAATTCCACCACCTGCCATAATGGGATCTGAATGTGGGTCCCCAGAATGTGGCCTAGGTCTCTGGATTAACTGTTTAGTGATAGTACCAGTAGGTCGTTGCATATCAGACTGAATATATTAACTCTGCTACTCTATAAACAGTTGCTGCCAAATTTGCTGAGATTCTCCAGCATTTTTTGGTTTTCTTTCATATCTCAAGCATCTGCTGTATTTTGATTTTATTATAGTTGTCTATACTAGATCTGGTATTTAAGGTTTTGGAGTAGTTTCATAGCTCGGATTGTGGATGTTGTGGTTGGTTGGCTCGCCGAGCTGGTTTGTTGTTCCGCAGACGTTTCATTACCCTGCTGGGTAACATCATCAGTGAAGCCTCCGATGAAGCGCCGTTGTGTTTTCCTGCCTGGTTTTTAATCTCTGGAGTTCGTTGAGCTGGATTACCTCACTCCCAGTTTTCCTTCGCAATGGAGTGTATATGGGGTCGAGTTCTATGTGTTTGTTGATGGCTTTCGTCATGGAGTACCAGGCTCCTAGGAACTCCCATGCCTGTCTCTGCTTTGCTTGTCCCAGGATCTTGGTGTTGTCCCAGTCGAATTGGTGGTTCTCCTTATCCATGTGGACAGAGATGAGTGAGTATTGGCCGTGTCTTTTTGTAGCCAATTGGTGTTCATGTACCCTTGTTAATTTCCTTCCTGTTTGTCCGATGTAGTGTTTGTCACAGTCTCTGCAGGGAACCTTGTATACGACATTGGTCCTGTCCATAGTGGGTAGTGGATCTTTGGTTCGGGTGAGCAATTGTCATAGGGTTGATGTGGATTAGTGTGCTACTCTGATGCCCAGTGGCCGTAGGAGTCTTCTGAAGAAGAATCTAGACCTGAAACATCAGCTTTCCTGCTCCTCTGATGCTGCTTGGCCTGCTGTGTTCATTCAGCTCTACACCTTGTTATCTGTAGATAGTTGAATTAGTGATGAAGTTGTACCAGACCTTATATTGGTAAAGAGCCAGGCCAGGTGATCAGATTTTCAGTGAGGTAGCATTTTGGGAACAATGATCATAATTCTGTAAGTTTAAAAAGTTATGTATAAGGATAAGACTGGTCCTTGGGTGAAAGTGCTAAATTGGGGAAAGGCTAATTATAACACTATTAGGCAGGAACTGGAAAAATTAGATTGGGGGCAGCTGTTTGAGGGTAAATCCAAATGTGACATGAAGGAGTCTTTTCAAGGCAGTTGATCAAAGTTCAGAACCAACGTGTTGTCGTGAGGATAAAAAATAAATATGACAAAATTTGGGAACTCTAGAAGATAAAAGATCTTGCAAGTTTAGTCAAAAGGTATAAGGAGGCATATGCGAGATTTAGGGAACTGAAATCAGAGATTGCCCTTGAGGAATATAAAGGAAGCAGGAAAGAACTTAAACAAGGAATTAGGAGGGCTGAAAGGGACCATGAAATGTCCTTGGCAACTAAGATTAAGGAGAATCCCAGACATTTTATATATAAGAAGGGTAAGTCCACTCAAGGACAAAGGGGGCACCTTAAATATGGAGCCTGAGGAAGTGGGTGAGGTCCTTATGAAAACTTCGCATGGTATTCGCCAAGAAGAAGGACGTGGATGATGATAAGATTAGGGAGGGGCATGTTGATATTCTCGGGCATGTCAATATTAAGAAGGACGTGGCATTGGGTGCCTTGAGAAACATTAAGGTAGGAAAGACCCCAGTGCCTAAAGGGACCTATCCCTGATTACTGAAGGGGGCAAGGGATAAGATTGCTGAGGCCTTGATCGGGATCTTTGTATCCTCTTTAACCATAGATGGGATCCCACCAGTCTGGAGAATAACCAGTGTTGTTCCTTTGTTTAAGAAGGGCAACAGGGATAATCAAGGAAATTACAGACTGGTGAGCCTTACATCAATGCTCAGGAAATTATTGGAGAAGATATTTAGGGACAGGATTTACTTGCATTTGGAAAAGAATAGACTTATTAGCGATAGTCAGCATGGCTTTGTAAGGTCTTGTTTCATAAATTTGAGGTTTTTGAGGAAGTGCTGAAGATGATTGATGAGGGTTATTGGTGGATGTAGTCTACAAGGACTTTTCTAAAGCATTTTTTCAATGTTCCTCACGGTAGGCTGGTTATGGAGTCATAGAGTAATACAGCATAGAAATAGGCCGTTCGACCCAAACTGGTCCATGCTGACCATAGTGCCCACTCAGCTAGTTCCAATTGTCAGTATTTGGTCCATATCCCTCTAAACCCTCCCCATTCATGTACCTATCTAAATGTTTTTTAAATGTTGGTATTGTACCTGCCTCAACCACTTTCTCTGGCAGCCTGTTCCATATATGTACCACTTTCTGCAATAAGAAATTATCCCTCAGGTCCTTCCTAAATCTTTCCCCTCTCACCTTAAACCTATGTCCTCTAGTTTTCAAATCCCCATTCCTGGGAAAAAGACTATATGCATTCGTCCTATCTGTGCCCCTCATGATTTTATACACCTCAATAAGGTCACCCCTCATTTTCCTACGTTCCAAGGAATAAAATCCTATCCTGGCCAACCTCTCCCTATAAATCAGGCCTACTAGTTCTGGCAACATCCTCGTAAATTTTCTTTACACAGTTTCCAATTTAACTATGTCTTTCCTATAACATGGTGACCAGAATTGTACACAATACTCCAAGTGTGGCCTCACCAATGACTTATACAACTGCAACATAGCGTGCCAACCCTCATATTCAATGCCTCGACCGATGAAGGCCAGCATGCTAAATGCCTTCTTCACCACCCTGTCCACCTGTGACGCTGCTTTCAACAAACAATGTACTTGTACTCCCAGGTCTCTGTGTTCCACAACACTCCTCAGGACCTTACCATTTATTGTATAAGTCCTACCTTGCTTTGACTTTCCAAAGTGCAACACCTCACACTTATTTGTATTGAATTGCATTTGCTAATCCTCAGCCCACTTCCCCATCTGATCAAGATCCCTCTGTAATTTTTGATAACCTTTCTCACTATCAACAATACTTCCTAATT